TATTAAGTATTTTCACTAAAAGTTACCATTATAAAACTCTAAAATAAAATTTCTAATTTTATATACATAATTATCGTAAATCTACTATAACTTTATATAATCATTTTAAAAAAATTAAAAAAATTATCAAACATATAGATATATATTTAAAAATACTATACTATTCTTACAATATGAAAAAAAAACTCTCAATTATAATTCGTGACGTACCTTAATATTTGGGTTTCGGCCTACCAACGTCGTAAAAGCTCAAAAGTAGAAACCCAAGTTATCGACAACGGTTTCTACCCTCTTTTTTCCCAAGGCATGCTTGCCTCAAGTCCAACGCCTTTCGTCGCCTAAAATCTCAGGTACTCACCTCAACAAAATTCAACCAAACAGATTCCCTCCCTCCTTCGGAGATCTGATCTCGGCTGGCGACGATATGGGGAACGATGAGGGACAGGAACGTTTGATCTAGAGTTGAAATGAAACGCAGTCGAATCTGTTTCCATTTGGCAGTGTTTTGGGCAACCCGTTCCTGTTCAATGACGTCGGCGATTTCAGCGACGGTGAATTCCAGAGTTCCGGGATTTTCTTCTTGACACCTTTCCTGCTGTTCCAAGGCGGATGAATGGATTTGTCTAAGGTCGGAGAAAATATTCTCAGCTCCGTACAGTCAGCAATGTCCCTTGGACTCCTGCCTTCTGTTTCCTCGTCTGATCGCCCGGAGGTCACGTAGTTCGAGTTACTAATCAGCAGATTATGAATCCGAATCAGCTTGATTTTCTTCGTTTATGGAGACTATATGAAGGCTACTCTTATGGTTTAGGTGTGATCACATATTAAGTTGAAGTTTAATTTGATTTATGGTGTAATTAAACTGTTCTTTGTAACTTAATTCCTACCGAGACTGATCTATAAATCGATATTAAGTAACATGCACTATTTCTTGTAAAGGCTACTCTTAGACTATACAATCAATATAATAATTTTATTCAATATGATGTTCTATTCTACTAGTTTAAAGTTGTGATTTTTTTTTTTTTAATAGATTATTCTCCTCACAAAATGCCAATTCTTTTGCCAGTTATGTTGATAGAATTGCCAATGCTAAATGGGAGGTAAAAGAGTTTGGTATGGAGCACAATAGGTTTGTTCTCTTGGGATCATCCTTTTTCCTTTTATTATGTTGTATGTTTGTCAGTCTGTTTTTTCAGCCATTTGTATGAACAAAGTTGTTTACTTTGGCACACTGTTAGTCTGTATATGTTAGGTCTTGTGCCTAGAAATGCAAATTAAATGTCTTTTTTGGGGGAATGCAAACAAGGTGTCTTCATTTCACTTAATATACAAATAAGCTTGGACATCTCTTCCTAACAGTTCGAGATTTCAATGCATGACTTTTTCATCTTGAGATCCAAGCATAGTGTTCTATTGTTTCCATAAGATGTCTCTCTCACCCAATCCTTGAACTATTTGTGCTTTGGAATGCATCTGATTGCATCATTGGTACTGCTTTCTGCAGCTGCCATTTATAATCTCTATAGAATGAATGGATGAATGAACAACTCTTGCTTTCCGTATTATCCTATCTTATTGGCCAGGCAGTATATCATATTTGAAACCTATGAGTTGCATCTTGTTTTGAAGAAATTCCCTGTAGAAATAGTTAGCACAGATCAACAAAAAACTGAAAGCAAAATTTAAAAATAAAAATCTTTGCAGTACAAAGTCATTTTGATCTGTGTATAAGAATGTGCTTAATGTTTTGAACTACAATGAAGTGTGAGGTTACTACCATTGATTCTATTTTTATTTGCTCCCCAACCAATAACCATTTTAATGAACTGCGATGATCTGCATAATCATGGCACAAAGAAGATGTGCATTTTCTGAAATTTTGCTTTACTTATACTGCCATTTGATTTGACAAATTTCTCTAACTTGTGTTGCTTGATTAACAGGTATGTTGATTTATTGTTGAGAGTATTTAAGCACTATAAAACAAGGCTTGCTGATGGTGGAATCCAAAACGAGGTAAAATGGTGGGCACTTGGAATCAGTTTTCATGAGCTCTGCTCTGTTATATATATTATTTAGAAATACACGGATTAGCTGAGTTTTTACCCTTAAGCACTGGTATTTCGGTTGAATGGTTCTTGACATGATATGATAATAGTAAAGCCAACTAATTTGCCAGTCCAGGGTTTAGGTTTTGGTGTCCAAATTTGCCTGTTAATTTGTTTACTTGAGACCCTCAATTTGAACACTTATGCATAAACTGTTACGCTGTTGGCTAATGCATAAAGCTTATTGTGAGGCATTGGTCATGACTTTATATTGCATGAAAAAGCAAATTAACTTCTAAAAAATCTAAATGATTTACTCTAATAAGATATTTATTCATTATCATAGGTGCAAGAACTCCTCTTGAAATATGGTCTCGAACTTGTTGCAGAAACTATCATTGAGGGTCTATCTAGAGTGAAGAAATGCACCGATGGAGGACTAGCTCTCATGACTTTAGATCATCAGATAATTATTTATATTTTGAAAAGAGCTTATTCTTTCTTTGTGCTTCTTCTTACTACCAATCTTGCATCTTTTGGTGGATAAGTCAAGTTCTGTTTTTGTTCCTTTCAGGCTTCAATCAATGGCCTACAACACTTGGTCTCTTCAAACGTGAAGCCATAGTTACATATGGTCGACACTTTCATCAAGGTAACCATAGGTGTGGTCCTTTTAGTGAGTTATAAAAAAGATCTTGAAATGATATGCTGAATTTGGATGGTTACCTTTTGTCCTGTTTGAAACACTAGTTCTAGGTGTAATTAATAAATTCCTGTTAGGCCTCAATCACAACTAACCATTTCCTCTCTTCACTCTACACAGGCTTATTACCTTCCAGAAACTAAATTTATGCACTGGGCACATGCTCTCATTCTGTAAGATAACTTTACCAAACTGATAACTGTTTTGATACTGTCGTATTTTGATCCTCGAACATGACAAGCATGTGCTAGAGAAGATCGAGTGAGCTGGTACGTAGGTACAAAATACCGCGTCAAGTTTCACACTCCGGTCATTTTTTTATTCTTTTTGCTGAGTAATGTATATTTGATAGTTTATTGTTTCCTTGGAAGTGCAGTTTAAAGGTCGTACATTTTAAAACCATTTCCTCCTAATGCTACAGTTTTACTTTCATTTTTTTTTTTTTTTAATGTGGGCAGACAAAATTATCCTCCTGTTTTCTTTGTTGTCTTTAGTCCTTTACCTTCTGTGAGGCATTTACTTTGTCTTTTATGACTAGTTGGCGGATGAACTCCTGTTAAAGTCACAAATAAGTAGGTCAAAGCCGAATTCTTGGATGCCTGTAGGACAGCTTGCAAGACTTTCTTAGGTTGGGTATGAAGAACTATAGGAAAATAATTAGGAGGTTGAAATATCAATACCATTGATTTTCAGCCTCCTAATTTTCGGACTCCAAATCTGGTCCCAAAACAGTATGTTTAAATTTACAAATTCATTTCAGTTTTGTCCTTCTATACCTTATTCCAAATTCAATTTGACTTTGGTCCACTATCTTATGTAAATATCAAATAGAAAATTTTGGGGAAGGAAAACTTAGGTATAGAATCCAAGTTTTAAGTGTCTAAGCACTTCCCTTATTAAAGTAATCAATAAGTCATTACATGCCAGACATCTTATGTAAATTTTAATTACATTGTGAAATAGTTGAACAGAAATTCAAGGGGAAAAAAAAGGGAAAAAGAAAAGCAAAAGGGAGCGAACAGAACACTGCTGAAGCTAAAACCTCAATATTCTATTCTATATTATTTTTCTTTTGTAATAGTAGCAATAAAATGACAATAAAATCCGGATTAATTGAATTATTTTTTATTATTTTTACTTTTCTGGGTGATTTCTGTAATTGCAGGAGCAGAGGTCTGATGGTTTGGGCTTTGCCCTTTGGGAGGTCACCCCCATCAAGTCAGAGAGCATCAGCTGCAGGTGACTGTGTCATCCCACCCACCATGTTTAATGCCACGCATGGCTGATCCACAGGAACCTAAAAATAAAAACATAAATATATAATTCTTGGGTTGAGGTTGAGTGCCATGTAGGGAATGCATTGTGCAGCAGTACATGATCCATTAGATTTGTAGATACGAGAGTTGGGTCTCACCATTAATGTTATTGCATGTGCATTGTTGGGAAAAATAGATAAAATTGAAACGAAGGGCATAATGATCATGGGGTTGGTGATGGGACATGACAACCAGGAAAGCATGATTAGATAACGATTGAAAAGGACTTGGTTTACTTCTTCTTCTCTTCCTTTTTTTATCCTATGAGGTACTAATAATGAGTAGGTTTTTACTTACAAAATGTCCTGCCCCAAGAATCCAATAGAAGTGCAAATTCTGGTATGACTTGATGAATCCTTTTGTGACTTTATCACCCCCACAGTAGAGAGGAGTTCTCGCCTTGCTCTGAAAATTTTGCAGTCCTTCCCATCTGCAAAGGCCATGCACTTCACATTTGAAGCTAATAAAATCGTGTCCTTTTCAAGTCAATTTTCCAAAATTAGATCACTTTACTACCTAAAATTTCGGTGTAGCAAAAATTCTAATGTACCATGAAGAGCTTTTGACTTGGTATCTTAATTAATAAAAAATACATCTCTACCCATAAAAAAATTTCAAATCACATCTAAACTATCATTTTAATGAGAGATACTAAAGTTTATGATATTATGTAAGTTTTTGCATATAAATTTAGGATATTACATCAATAGTATTCATGATATGGTAGAATTTATCTTTTTTTTATAATATATTTACCTTAAGATGAATGGAAGAGAATGGAGGATTTTTTTATCAATAAAAAAAAATGTGGAGGAAGTCTTACTTGAGCTTCTCAACCCATGCTTCAGTACCCCTTGTTGCGCAGATAACATCAAGCTGCAATTATCAAATAGAATGAAGATTTTACTAAAAAACAAAAAATTAGTTCCAACTAACAAAAACCCATAATTATCAAGTATTATTGAAGATGCCTTTCATTATATTTAACTTTAGTTTAGATTCCACATCTTGGGAAATAATTGTAATACAAGGGGGTGGTCCACAATCCAGATGGAATACAACTCAGCGTACTATTGTCTATGCTTTAAATTTTGTCAAAAGAAGTATACCAAACAAAGAAGTTTTGACAAAAGAAATTTACAAAGTATGACTTGAGAGAAAATTAGCCTTACTTGTCCATTGTATATAGTAACATTCACTCCTTTAGCAAGAAGCTCATCAACCTGATATTATCCCATAAAAAAAAAATATTAAACACCCAAAAAGAGGGGAAAAGAAGGGGGGGATGGGGGGGGAAGAGGAAAAGAGAGAGAAATTTCACTGTAATTTCTATAAATTAAAATTGAGAAATGTTCTCTTGAATGCAAATGGTCAAAAAATGTCATTCTAAGTTTAGTTGTTTCCAATGAAAACTGACATTGTTCTGCTGGCCTAAACTAAAAAGAATATTTCTCATTAATACTTACCTCATCAATCCTTGGTTTCATGAAGTCACCCGCCAAATTTGAGAAAACATAATCTGACTGCCCTCCCCATCTGTTATGCAAAATAAAAATCAGCACTCTTGAATTATTTGTGCAGAAATTTACAAAAAGAAGGGGGAAAAAACAACTTACGAAATGTTGGATGGGATGATCTTCAGTTTTTTCTTAATGGGACCATTCATCAAACTATCAATATCACCACCATTACCGCCTGGAGAAGACCTCAATGAGCTTAGATATCTTGAATATTTCTTCAGATATTTTGAGTATTTGCTCAATGAAATTCCATATGATATCTCTGATGTTGCTATGGATACCGGGTCCATACCGGCATCCAGAAGAAAATTGTAGAAGTCCTGTAAATTAATTCCCCCCAAGAAAATGTTACAGTTTCAATTACAAACCACCAATAAGAAAGGGGAAAAAATAGAAAAATCAAGTACAATACCACAGAATTGCTGCTTATAGAAATTGCTGACTCAAGTTCACTCCATGTGGATGTTGCTTCAACATATTTCCCATCTTCCAGTTGCTGTTTAATCTTCTCAGATATACTGATTTTTCAAATGGGTTTTATTAGATAACTGAATTCTCTATCTCAAGACTAGAAATTTCCCAGGAACCAAGCAAGGGGAAACTAACCTTTCAGATTCTTTTACGCCATTGTTGTCAAGCCTTGACACATCTTTTAGAAGAGGTCCCCAAGAAAACTAATAGCATAGGTATTCAGATTGAAATCTTTCAATTTTTTTTACACAGAGAGAGGACAAAAGTGCATTGAAATGAGAAATTACTTACCACAAAATCCTCAGGGGAGATCCAGCTATCTCCCAAGGCAACTCCTACATATACACAAACAGTTCAATTTCAATAGAAAACTCAATTTTATTCAAAAAATGCGAATCACAATCGAGCTCTTACCTCCAAGTTTGAGCTTCAACTTTCCGGATTCAATGGCTTTTACTGCTGATAATCCGAGAGTAACAGCAAATTTTCCTCCATAAGACTCTGCCACAACGTACAGGGGGCTCTTCTGGAGCTCCTCATTTTTATTAAACAGTACAATAAGCAATGTAGTTAAATCTGTTGCTGCCTCATCATCAGTCTTCACAAATAAACTTGTGTTCTCCACAAAACTGAATCCTGTTCCCACTGGATTGTCCTACAAAATCCCATAAAAATTTTTCATTAAAAACATGTATTACAAACCCACAAAAAAAAAAAAAATCATCTTTTCCCAAAAGAAGAAGGTTGAATTATTGATAATTCAGTTACTGACCACAAACAAAAGATCAGCTTTCTTCAACCAGGTTGAATTTCTGGGGTTCAAGTTGGTGTCTAATGGCCCAACCTCCTCGAAATTTCCAATCCCAACTCCTGAAGCACCCTATTATTTTTTTTTACCAAAAAAAAAAGGAGAAAAAATAGGAAAATTCATATTTTTAATCAAAGCTGATTTAATTCAAATATAGAATAATGGATACTTACAGGTCCACCTTGAAGCCAAAGAATGACGGGCCATGGCTTGGAAGGATTTTCAACTCTGTATGGACTTCTATACAGCCACCAAAACATATGTGCTTCTGCTCAAACCAATTCAACACCCCCAAACAAAAACAAAATGCAGAATTAATATATCAAGAAAAAAAAAAAAAAAAAAAAAAAAAAAAAGAAGAATTGAATATTTTCGAGTTTTGGGTTACTTGGTCTGACTTCAACATATCCCCATTCTTCTAAGCCATCTGTG